TTTTTTTTTTTGCTTTTGAAACTTAGATGGCCGTTGCCGTTTTATATGTTTATTAATGCTGTATTATTTTACCTGGTCGTTGTATTTTGCACCAATATAGACGGTAAGCAACGAAAATGTCACCATAACGGTGAAGCCAACAACCAAATATGGATGTAATGATTGACCGGTACGAATAACTTCGTCTTGTGTATAGACCACTGAAAATACTATTGGATCGACATACTTACTGCGATACTCCCTGAAAAAAAAAAAACCAAATTAGCCGATTGAACAATTACCATAAACAGTTTAGATGACCAATTAGAATTCAATTTGTTGTACAAATACAGTGGATAAATCTGTTTTTTTGATATTTCAAGTTGGCTGCGTAAAGGCTTTGTCAAAATAACATCGCCTTGGCATTTTTAAAAGAAATATCCGATTAACACAAATAGTCTGATAAAATTGAGGAAACAAATTTTGATTTCACAGTTACAACAGTTGCCAATTAGTTTTTCTATGGCGGTTCCGACATTTAAATTTTCCAGCAAAAAGAAAACGAGATACTAATAATTTTTTGGAATCTGATAGCCCTTCAATGACTAAACCCTAAATAATTTGTTACTTTACAGCTATTCATAGTTTGAGAGTTGTGAAGAGAAAATTATTTTTTCAAATTTTTTTCCCATTAAAATCTGTTCTACTTCCTTCTTCGTTTTTATTTTTCCACTTCTCGCCCAACCTCAATTCACATCCCTTTCTTTTGTCCCCCCTCCACCCGTCTCTCCAAGCCTACTTTCCACCTGTAAAGATTTTTTTTTACTACAAATGAATTTACTAACATTTTTTCTAACAATTTTACTGCTACAATTTTTGTTATTAAATTTACTGCTGTTGCAGTCTAGCAAAATATTTTTTTTGATCATCAAATCGGTTTTTTTTCTAACTGTCATATCTAATAGAATTTGGGCTGATGAATTTAATGTAACACGCTGAGTACCGTTCTTCGTCTTAATTTCGCTCTTTTCTACAAAAAAAAAAGTAACCATTGTTCTTTTTTCCTTTTTTTTACTTTCAATAACAACAGCTTTTTCTTGGACTTCTTTAGTTGTGTTTACAATTTCTTTCCAAATTAAAACTTCCGCAGTTTTTTACTAAGTTGTATTAACAGTGTGATAAAAGGGTATCAAGTGAACATAAATGTAGAGCAAGTTAAAGGTTTTCAATCATCGATTCAACTTTTTCTTTTTTTGCCTTTGCATTGCCCTTTTATGATTGTTTCTGGTTTTTTTCTAGAAATTCTTCTACATGTTTGCGTGTATTTTCAGTAAAATTTTTTTTGTTATATATAAAGCTTCATTTGCTGTACAATTTCTAGACAAAAAAAACTTCTTTCTGGAAATTTTAATGAATGAAATAAAGGGTATTGTAAAATTGTTGAACTGTTACAAAAAGAAAAAAAAAGAGTGTAAATGAGCAGTTACTTTGTTATATAGTTCCCCACAGATCGTTCCCATTCTGCCATATCGAAAAAATTCCATTCTGTGGGTTGTGGAGCACGAAAATGAAGTACAACAAGCTTCAGGTGCTCAATGTTTGATACAGCTGACATCGCTGGTGTTACTACTGTTGTTGAATTATTGTCATTATCGCTGTCATCATTGTTAATGGTTTTGCTGCTGCTGATACTGCTACGATTTTCAACGGTGCTCGTATCAATAGTTTTAACACCAAAAAAACTTGGTGATAAGTCTAAATCGTGGCCAACAAATCGCATTATTGGATAGGACAGATTTAGAAAATCATTGTCCACAACTTTGTTGGTCGCACTTAACAGTAAACCATTCTAAAAAAAATGGAAAGGAAAAGTTGATGATGTTGATGGTAAAAATTGTTGATAACAGAAAAAAAAACACAGACGAGATCAATTGAAAGATTTGATTGTTTACTACACAAGACTTAAAAGTTAAACCAAAAATAAATTTTGTATTTTGATGAACAGTACTTATCAATGTTATATTGTAATCAATTCAACTTATGAGTAGTTGATAGAGGAGAAAAGAGAAGAAGATGCAAAAAAAAAGCTATCTCGAATGTTTGTTTGAAAAAAAATTAAAAAAAAAATTAGTGCAGAAAACTAATCATACAGATACACCATTTCAGTACAGACTTCGTAAGTGCTAAAAAAAAAGTTACAACATTGATAAAACTGTGCTATCGGCGAATATTTAAGCAATCAATGTTTAACCGGATTAACTGATTGTCATAATTGTTTTATTTAAAAAAATCGAGAAAAAATGCAGAGAAAAACAAAAATGTTATATCAAATATAAAAATGGTATACCAGGAACAAAAAATAAAAGAAAAAAGTAGAAAGGAAGAGAAAAATGAAGAAAAAAATTTGAAGAGAATAAATAAATTTGAATTGATAAACGAATAAGTGCTATTAATGTTGATAATAATTTGTATAATTACCTTCTTTCTATTTTCTCAAATATCTTAGAAGATATATAAGTGGAAAAAAAATAGATCAGGTTCTAGCTGTACTGTTTTATTTATATGTATCTGTCAACAGTACACTTTAGCGATATTTACAGTAATGATAATCGCATACATGGATCAATTTTGGGATATCAAAGAGGAAATCTACTAACAACGTCAGGGTTTTTTCTTCCATTTAAGATTGATGGTCATATTTAAACTCTTACCCGGAATTGTCGTACAGCTTCGTTTGCTAGGCAAAAATTTTCACAGATATCATAGTAGGTAAGATTCTTGACTGGAAAATTTGTGCCCACATAATCCAGAATATCAACAGTGTCATTCAAGTGTTCCAAACGTGTCATTGTTCCGCCATCTTTTGCCATTATCAGCACGTATAACAACAGTGGATCTTTGCCATCATTGAAGTTACGAAACACTTGAAGTTCTTTGTAGGCTCGTGCACGATGTGGTGTATAACCAGCTCGTATATCGTCTGCTGGTGGTGTGGCCAAAAATTTTAGCGTACAGACGATTGTTAGCACTGTACATATCTAAAATAAAGAAAAAAAAAAAGTTAAGAAATAAATAATATCAAAAAAGGAAAAAATCAATTTTTAAGTGAGTAATAGCTGATATTACACAGTTATTGCATGTATTTAATTGTGCTTTCATTAATAATACTGAATTAAACCAGTGGCCTAATACAACTCTGTTTTCTGCAGTTCATAGTGACGGTGTTGATAAATGTAAGATGAAGATAAAGAAAAAAGTGAAGAAGAAGAACAAAAAGAAAGAATTAATGTTATCCTTTGTACACAAAATTTTGATGATATCTGTTATGAATTGTGTTGTGCGCTTTGCTTTTGTATTAATCATTTAGTCTACAGAAGCGGCGGTAGAGTTGTTGCAACAGTAAATATGGTATTAAATGGACTATAGAAAATTTTATGTTCATCAAATATCTAAAATTTTATATATTATAGTC